CCCTGGGTTCACGCTCAGGACCACAAGAAATTGAATGAGTCCTTTGTATTGGCATATGCCTGTGATCCCAGCTATTTAGGAGGCTGAGAGAAGAGGATCTCTAGTTTAGTGCCAGCCTGCGACCTCAAAATAAACGAGCAGGATGTGGTTGTGTACACCTGTAATCCCAGCACTCTGGAGGCTGAGACAGCTGGATTGCCAGGAGTTCGAGACCAGCCTGGGCCACATAGTTCAAGCCTGCACTACAAAGCGAGACCCTGTCTCAAAAATAACAAAAAAAGCCAGGGCATACACTTTGGTATCTAAAAAATTATCTTGTGCTTGTTCATTCCTGTGAAGATGTTGGGTAAATTATAGGGGACCTCTCCAAAGAGTCCTTGGGGGTGCCTTCTGCCCATCAACTATGGCTGTGGCTAAGCTGGGCTGACCAGTGAAAATGTGTGCTGGAGGGGAGGATGGAAATGCTAGTGGGCGCCTTCTAGGTGCAACCCAAGCTGCTGGTTGTCTCTGAAAGTGTTATCTGTGGCCTACCGGGCAAGTCCGCCTATCTTATAACCCGTGCCAACAACTCTTTTCTCTTTTGAGTGAGGAATGACCTGCATTTGCACTGGTTTTGGAACCAAACATATCCAAGTCCCAGATTTTGATACTTAGTAGCTTGTGAACTTGGACAAGGAGATATAAACAGTATCTACTTCATTAAATTTTCCCAAGTATTACACATAACCATTCAACATGTCAGAGACCATGTGTATTTTACAGATAGTTCAAAACTGCAAAATGCTAAGAAAACTGAGCAGAGCTGGAATGAGACCCCTAAACTGTCTTCTGTTCACTCATCCCTACTAACTTTGGTAGACTGCCCTCTCCATTTCTGTAAAATCTAAGGGTAAAGTAAGCTGTCCAAAGCTCCTTTTAAAACTTGTCAGAAATCTGCCCTCCTAGCCTGCTGTGGTGGGTGCTACATGCCTGAAGTGTGAGCTGCTCAGAAGACTGAGGCAGGTGGATTTCAAGTTTAAGACCTGCCTGGAAAACAGTAGGACCGTCTCAAAATAAGAAACAAAAAAGAGCTGCAGATGTAGCTCAGAGGTAGAGCGCAGCCTGGTTCAGTGCCTAGTACTGGAAAAACAAAACACCAGCTTTCCTGTGGAAAAATCCTCTGTAGCCAGTATCCTTGTGGTCCAGCACCACCTTGTGGTCATCAGCACAAGCTCACCCTTTCCTCTCACGACAGCAGGGTTGGTGGCAGAACCATCATCATATTAGGAGCTCTCACATGAACCCTGACGCTGTGCCAGGCACTGGACAACACACTCCCTATGGCATTCTCTAGACTTTACAGAGGCATCGCTACAGGTAGGAAAGCTGGTGCACAGGACATGGGTTGATCTGCCAATCTAGATAAAGCCAGGTTTTCAATCCCAGATGTAGAGCCTGAATTACACTGATAGGAAAATGGCTAGTTACATGAAGTTACAAGCCCAACTAATGGTAGAGCCAGACCTTGGGCCCTAAAATTCTTCCTGTCCTAAGCTTAGCTGAGGCTACCATGAAAGTTTCTGGAAAGAACCCTGGAGATGGCTCTACCTGAAACAGTTCACCCAGACAGGCTTAGACTTGGAGCTGAACTGTCTGTACCTGGACCTCCAGTTCAGCCATTCTTGGCGATCTGTGGTACCCAGACTACAATAAAACAAGTCCCTGCATCCTGCTCCACTCACTGGCTCTGGTGTGAGGTCTGTGCACCTCTCGGCTGGTCAGTTCCTATGTTCCTCGAGGCAGAGTCCCATCAGAGTGGGACTTGGCAGATGGGAGTCCCAGCTGGCACTCACTCAAGTTGGCTGGCATGGGGTTTAAATTCTACCTTGGCACTCGGCCTTGGATCTGCAGGGCCTGTCTGGGAGCATCATGGCATGGGAACTACAGCCAGAGAACAAAAGATGGCAAGTGCTGCAGGTCCAGACAGGCAAGTGCTGCACCCCACACATCCGGCCCTCCTGTTCCACCTTTCAACAGTTTGCCTTCAAGAATATCACCAGGGGTGCACTAGGAAAACTTACACCTCCACCTGCATAGGCATGCCTGCTTCTTCCCAGAGGGTGCATGGGTTTCATCAGGCTATCTCCTGGATCAGAGGAGAAAAATGAGTAAAAGAATATGTGGAAAAGGACAATAAAACCAAAACAAAAAAGTACTGCCCTGGTTCCTGAACAAGGCTTCCTAAATTACCAAACAGAAGAGTCTAAGCACCTCGAGAAAGCAACAGGAAGACATTTCCTCTGCTTTCATCTGCTCCCCTGAGCTGGCTGGCCTCACTCTTGGATGGTGCTGTTATTCTCCTACCCATAGCAGGGTACAGAGTGGGATCTGAGGGGAGGGAAAGCCCCCTCAATGAACTTTTGAATTGGGCATAGGGTAAAATTTTGGTTTTATCACTTTTAAACTTCTACTCAAACCTATTTTAGTGCTTCATTATAAAAAAAAAAAAAAATTGGTAACACTGGGGATAGAACCCAGTGTCTCAAACATGCTAGGTAAGAGCTCTTCCACTGAGCTGTACTTCCAGCCCTAATCATCTGTTAAACATCTACCTCTCAAATACCTGAAATACCTTTAAAAGACAAAAAAGGTTTCCTTTTGAAGTGTATGTGGAATAGGAGGACATGTAAATCAGTTTGGCTCTAACTGCAATCTCAGCACTCTGGGAGGCAAGAGGATCAGAAGTTTGTTAAGTCCAGCCTGGGCAATTTAGCGAGACCCTGTCTCAAAAATTTAAAAAAAGACTGGGACTGTAGCTCAGTACAAAGGCCCTGGATTTCATCCCCAGTAGTGCAACAAGACAAACAAACCCCACATCAGTTTGGCCCTAGCCAACTCAAACCTCTCCTCTAACATAACCTTTGGATTGTGACCTCAGACATCCTTTGCATACACCATGACATAAGACTAATGTGGTGAAAACAGCTTAAATCTAACGCCAAAAATGTACCATCCATGACTAATCTGACATTTGCTTTGGAGAACTTACATTGTCTCCACAGTTCAGACTTTTCTAGGAACAGTCCTAAAAAATCTCAAGCACACAAAAGTATATTCTTAAATATGGTTTAATACTCTTCTCCATTTCTGTACATCACAACACCAAGATTTTGCTGCTTAGGATCTCTGCAGAGGCTATAGAGAATGCAAAGGCTATGGTTTTCACCCCTTCTTATTTGTGTTTGTATGTGTAAGTGTAATACATATCAGTATATATTGATACACACATCAATATATAATGCAATATATATCACCGAAGAGAACACATTGATTAAAGAAATACAAAAATTTGGCATCATTTCCAAACTTAAATAGTAAAAATAAAAACTACAAAAGGAGCTGCATACCCTAAATGTATCATGTGTAATAACAAGCATATTCAAAAATGTAAATTTACATCCAATTTCTCTGGTCTTGTCATATCACATTAGACCCATTTACAATGGCAAAACTCTAAGGTACTGCTGTGAAGAGAGCATGTTTGCTTGCTCTTGGGTGTTCTGCAAACAAACAGCAGAGCCCAAAGCAAAAACCCTCTGGTGAAACCTCCCACATTGGTGAACACCAAAGAAACAACTCTTCTCACTGGGGTTGAGACATCAGGTTACACATTGACAGACAGTAATTTGGACCTCAGAGTACAGTGTAAGAACCAGAAGCTTTACATTTAAGACATACTCCCTTCATTCAAGTGAAACAGGATTATTGGAACGATAGGCAGGTCTGTAACCTGGGAACAAGGAGCTGGTTCAGACCAATAAAGCTACGAGTGACTGAGTCAAGTCAGTGAAGAACAGCAGTCAGGCACTAAAGTGTTAAAAGTACCCAATTTGAAAACCAAATGCACCCCACTACCCTGTCAGTGTGGGGGGGTGATACCAACTGACTTTAAAAACCTTTGGTCCTTCAAAGTCCATTTGGTATATACCTTTTTCCATTGCTACTACCGGGCACATCCTACACGCTTCGTTCACTGTCACCACCTCGAGCACACCTCGAACTCGCACATCAGCGAGCCCAATACGGCCCAGCTGCAAAGCACAAACCAGGTTTTCAGGTCAACTTTTGGATCCAACATGGTTTTAGTCCATGGTGCCAGAAGCTGCGTCCCATCCCTTCCCGCCCCTGCCCTTCCCTCCCTCCTCCCGTCATTTCTCGTGTGAGAGGTGCCTGTTAAGTCCCACATTTGAAACGGATGCCCCAACCCCACTAAGGGTTCTCATAATTACATGCAGTCATACATGTCTGTTGTTCTTGAGAAAAATCTTGTAGTTCATTTAAAAAAATCAAAACATTCACATAATCTCATGCCACCCAAACATAAGGAAACACAACCATCTCCCTTTTACCAAAGATACACCCAAGCAAAATAAAATAATCTTTAAATTTTTTTGCTTCCACTTAAATTGCATGTTTTATTTCTCCCAATCCCAGCAATAGCACAGAAGCTCCATCATATCCATCCCCCACCAGGGTTTAGTAGGCTGAGATTATGGGGACCCTTGTCAAAGGAAGTGAGTGATACAAAGGGCTCCCAAATGCTGGGCACAAATGTGTCTGCCAAACAGATGGAAGTAAACAGTGCATTGGCCCCAGTGCCTCGAGTCAGCTCAACACTGTAATGCAACCTGCACCCTTGAAACTGACAGTCTGGGGAGGGGTGTGAGGGAGTGAAGTTGAAATTGCTTCCTATTAGCTCACCCTTCCAACATTAAACAGAGACCAGGAGAGAAATGGTTCCGACATTTCACCACATATATTTCTTCTTATGCAGTCTAAGCTGAGAATGCCATGTAAATGGGTCACTGCAAAATGCAGCAATTTAATTTTTCTCCAATCAAAATCAGAAACAAACCTGTATGATCTCACGTCTATTAACTTTTGAAGGTTTACAGCAGTTAAAGTATTTTTGCTTCTATGTATGAAGGTTAAAAAAATCATTTTTTTCATAAAATAGTTAAAGTATTTGCTTCTATGTATGAAGGTTAAAAAAATCATTTTTTTCATAAAATACAAGAGCAACCAATTTCACCATCGAGTAAAAGTAAAAACTGGGATTCTTTTTTAAATTAGTCCAAAGTGGCATTTAGGAACTTAGTTGTAGGCTGCTGTGCTGACACCATGACAAACCAAAGTGTAGGGCTGGGTCTGGTTTTGTTTCGGTTTTCTTTTCAGTATCCAATGCTCACAGATTAAGTTCTGGAAATGTTCCAATTGTAAGGCAGGGATCTGTTTGGATTCCACCACGGGTTTGCTCCTTGGGTTGGATGCTGGAGGGTGAGGCACGTTTTGCCGGACCCATGTCGACTACCTAGTAGTCATCAAGGTCAAAAAATTCATCATCTCCTCCTTGGTATTCCATTCCCTGGAAATCTACTCGGTACCGCAAGATACCTGGAGAAACAAACCAAAGGGTAAATGGCTGTGTTCATGGAATAGAATGGAAAGGGGTTACTCTAAAATGGAAAGCCCTGCTGGGCGTGGTGGCGCACATCTGTAATCCTAGCATTCGGGAGGCTGAGGCAGGAAGATTTCTTTGAGTTCAAAACCAGCCTGGGCTCCGTAGTGAGTTCCAGCTCAGTCTCAACTACATAGTGAGACCCTGTCTCAAAAAAGGGGAAGCCCATTCTCTTGCAAGTAAGTCATGATTAAAAATGGGGGGAAAAATTGGTCCAGATAAAAAAATGTGTTACCACCTGCTGCTCTAACCATCTGTTTTAAGTAGAGGATGAACATACCTCATTTAAGGGAACTTATTTCAGGCTAGCCTAAAGCCCTGGCCTTAAGACCATTTGCTGATATGCTTCTTACCTCCAATTCCACCAAATCCTTTCACAAATTGGGATCCTTCTTGTGACTTATCTGTGACAATTTCCAATGTAGCTCCAAATTTTTTATAGTTGTTAGCAAACCATTCCAAAAGGGGCATGCTTTCAATCAGCTCATGTTCTTGTCCTGTCTACACAAAACCATGAAATACAAAAAACGGGATAAGGACACATCAAGGTGTAGCTGGTCCTTTCAATTCCCTACCCACCATCACTCTTAACATCCCACTCACAATATATATGCATACATGTGTGTACAATGAACTGAATTCTGGTTTCTGATAACCAATTAAAACAGCGAGAAATTCTGTTTCAACACTCCTTAGCCTCTAGCCTTAGTCATGAAATGTTAACACATTCTATTAGTGGTTTTTCAACTTGTGATTCCTACTGTTGACTCCAGAAATCAGGCCACTGTAGTGTTTCTATGTAACACTCATTCAACACCCCAGGAGAGACATGCTAAACTCACTCTGGAAGTAGCCTCATAAAAGACAAAGTCCTCCAAGTCAGAATTTGAGGAAATTACCACTTAAAGCCATCTTATATGGGAAGGTAACATTTTCTTTTGGTACTGGGGATCAAACTCAGGTCTTTGTGCTTGCGAGGCAGGTGGCAGAACCACTGAGCTAAATCCCCAGCCTGGGAAGGTAACATTTTGAACTGGTGATGAATTTAGAACACAGAGACACCACTGCACTGGCAAAACTCAAAGTGAAGTAAGCAGCACAGATTTAGCACAGAAGCACTATTCAAATTAAACCTTCCTCTCAGGTGGGCGTGGTAGTACACACCTGTCATCCCAGCACTTGGGAAGCTAAGGCAGGAAGACTGAGTTTGAGACTAGCCCTGGCAACCTAAAGACTTAGCAAAATAAAAAAATGACAGAAGGACCAAGGATGTAGTTTAGCGTGATGGCCTTGGGTTCAATCCCCAGTATCAGACAATCCCTTCTTCTCTATTACACTGGATCCTTGACTTATGAACTCAATTTGTCCCTGAGGGCTGGTTGTAACTCAGGTTGATCAATTGCCTTCAAAGTCTCTCTCCTGTATAATTTCAGGCCAGACTTCATGTCTTAGAGTCTCACTGTCCTTAGAGAGACACTGGCCCAGGGTTTTTCTCTCTCTCTCTCTCTTTCTTTGGTACCAGAGATCAAACTCAGGTCCTTGTGCTTGCAAGGCAGGCGGTGGAACCACTGAGCTAAATCCCTGGCCCTTGGCCCAGGATTCGTCAATTAACCCCACACAGGGAAAGATGTTGTAATGTTCCTTCCAGAACTCATTAAGGGTTAAATCTATATTTGAGACCACCTGGAAGCGCAAGCAGCCAGCATTTGAGTCATAACTCAAGACTTTGGTCATAAGTTAAAACTAAAATTCCAGTCGTAGCCCCAGTTATTTGTATGTCAGGCTGGTCATAACTAGAGGGTCTACTGAATTTCATTAACAAGAGCAGTTTCCAGATCGCTTAACTACTTTAACTATGATTTAGCCTCATTCCTTGGAATCTGATTGGTGAGTGGCATAGATGACCTGACTCCTGCTGCCCCTAACTAGTATGAGGTTTGGTTTCCCAGGCTGGTCTCTATGCTGGCAGTGCTCTAACACATGGACTTAAGGATTTTTGCATTTATCATCAAAATCAAACACATACCTCTTTGTCTGTGAAATGAGATTTATCCTTCTCTTGTTCTGGAGTTAAATAGAGAATTTTCTCCTCTGTAGTATTAAAAGGGAAAAATGTGTTACCCTGGCTCTCTCATACGTAGGTAAAGCCCCACAGGATGAAAATAGAAGAGAAAAGGGCTCCTAGATTCATTCTATTAACATCCTTTCTACAAGTATCTTAGCATGCACTGAGCATCTACCAGGTACTCTGCTCCTAGTCCTCAGCAAATTTACGGCATTGAACAGATCAAGCAGAAAAATCTATGTAGTTATGGCTATCACACTAAAAGTGCAGAGCATGATGGTGTTTCTGAATTCTTCTGAAATCAGCCAGTCTTCTTCAGTGTCCACCCAGGCTTCCCAAACACACAGGAAAATAACAAAGAGCAACTGTACTTTCTAATTCTCTTACCTTCTGTGCCTTGGCAATGAAGAACATATCTCATTATATCCAGATTTTCATAGACTATTAGAATCTCTACAGCTCCCATTTCCAAAGCTTTTAGTGTATCTTCAACTCCAAAACAGTACTTGCCTGTGTCTTGGCTAATTTCATCAAAGTATCGTCCTATGAATTAGGGACAAGACAGTAAAACAGCTGGCTCTTGTATTCACAAATTCAACATATTGTGGACTGAAACTATTCAGAAGGCTACATTTTGCTGCTGTGTATATTATGTAGTTAGGCCCATGATGGCTGCACCTATACTGAACATATGCAAACATATGTTACTCTCCAAACAACACAGTTTAACAATTACATAACATTTGCATTTTATTGGTATTATAAATAATCTAGAGATAAATACTACTCTATTTTGTGTCAAAGGACTTGGGCACATGCGGCTTTGGATATTCATAGAGTACTGAAATCAATCCTCTGAAGATACTGAGGGAAGACTATATATTTTCCCTTACAATGACACATTTAATAGACCCAATGACTGAAGATTAAAAATGATTCCATGGTGGCAGAAAATTAAAAAAAAAAAATATATATGTATTTTTGGAGACAGGGTCTCATTGTGTAGAGTTCAGGCTGGCCTTGAACTTACTATGTAGTCTAGGCTGGCCTCAATGTCAGTGATCTTCTTGCCTCAGCCTCCCACAGTGCTGGGATTACAAGTGCATGCCATCACGACCCACTAGAAAATTTTAATAAAAATGTTTGATCTTCATTTTAACTTTTTTGTCTTGGGGCCAGGGATTTAGCTCAGTGGCACCGTGCTAGGTAATGAGTTTAATCCCCTGTACTACAAACAAAACAAAACAAATCTACCAACAGAAAAACCAAACAATACAAACTCCATACAAACAAAATACTTAGCTTTTTTCTAATTTCTTGATAACTTTTTCATGTCTTATTTTACATACAGTCATGTACACATCTGTATATACACACAAACACAATAAGCGAAATAGTTGCACTTTACTGATACCTATTAATTTCTTCTCTTGAATGAATTTCACGTTGGAGAGGACTTCAGTAGATAACTCAATTGCTTGGTTGAATCCATTTTCACCACCATAGGAAATATCAACTAATTTTAAAACTTTCGATTGTAACCTCTTGACACAATTAAAACAAAAACAAAAACATAAACATTAGCAGTTCAGAAGACCTTTATAGACTACTGCTTTTTTTTTTCTTTTGTACCTGTGGATCAAACTCAGGACCCTGCAATTGCGAGGCAGGCAGCAGAACCACTGAGCTAAATCCCCAGCCCCTCAAAGACTATTGCATAATGGCAACAAATCTCAACTTTACGATCACTGAAGTCTAAATGAGAAAGGAGCCCAATTTATTCAATAGCTGATATTGCAGAAAGCAACACCATCAGGACAAATGTTCAGAGCTAATTATATCACATTCTATCTGACCCACTACAGAATAATTCATTACATCAAACAATAATAAATTTCTTGTAAATGAAATGGAGAGCAAGTGGCTCTTGCCAATAGGGTGACAAAGAATACTTTGGAAATATGTCATGTCTGAGCCTGTTATAAAACAAAAAAATCCTCTGGATTAAGCATTTTGGTCTTAATTAGCTGTGTCATATTGCTACATATCACTGCTTTATTTATGTCAAGGAGTAAGTCAGCAAAGACAGTAAAAAACAACTTCTAGTTTCTCTGAAACTAAAACACTTTAAAATCAATCATGGTAACCTACTAAAGCAGCCATCTCCACAAGGCCTGTAAGGATCCCACTTAAGAATGGACAAGCCAGAAAAGCACAAGGAATGTTCCCAAACGAATACCTGCAAACCTACACCATTTAACTCAAGAGCTAGGTTTTTATTTCAAACCCGGGGCCATGTACATGCTAGGCAAGTACTCTATCACTGAGCCATATATCTATCTATCTATCTATCTATCTATCTATCTATCTATCCCTAAGAGCTAGTCTTGTTTTTTTCTAGGGTGTGTGGCGGAGTGCGGGGTAATTATTACTTGGTTTTGCTGTGATTTACATTCAGTTTTCAAATGCTGGGCACTCATTTAAGAAAAAGTATATATGTATAGTCCAAATTTGAAGTAGTGGATAAACTTAGATGTGTACTATATGGAAATAAGTCTTACTACTTTTCCCCAAACCATGGATTCATAAACTCATTCATCCATTCAGCAGTCATTTATTGAGCACTCACTGTGTGTTAAGCACAGCGGTAGGTACCACAGGTTGTCAATTGTGTATTTTCTAAAAATTTTATTGTGAAGGTTTGCTTTTATTTTTAAATTTGGTTGAATTTATGACTAAACATAAAGGCTTCAAACCAGAAATTCCTGAATGAACAGAAAAGATAATTATAATTAATAAGGTTTTTAGCTTTTTCGATCCATATTTCAGTGCTCCCATAAAAATGCACTACCTTATTCATTATATATTAAGTCTCATTATTGCAAGCGAATTATGAGTAAGACATGACTGACTCTAGAGATGCCCTAGTTGTTGTTCAGAGGTAAAAATAAATACCTTATGTTTTCTTACTTATCTATATAACTAGCACATCTAAAATTATTTAGGGGCTTTTATATAAAGAAGCATCTACTTCTTGCTTACCTGATCAAACATATCAGACTGACTTAGTTCAGTTTTAAAGTCAGCTGATCCAGCTAAAACAAGACCAGCCACATTCACTTTGTCCCCAGAAATAAACAGTTGTACAGCAGTTTCTGCTACTTTCCGAACATAATTATGTCGCTTTTCCATTCTTAAACGGGCAAAACGCAAGGCTGACTGACCTCCTCTACCTTTGACACAAAAGTGGTGAGAGAAGAGATAATTATTAAGAAGCACAAGATGTCTTGAGAATCAAAAACAATCATGCCATTAACTTAGAAAAAAATAACTTAAAGTTTATTTCAGAGAGTAACTTTATTACTAGACATAAAGTAAAAGGCCTCAAGCTCTCCTTCCATCCTACCATGTTTCTTTGGAAGATCCACAGTGAATTTGTGCAGGACTTCTCTTGTATTTCCTTGGAGTGTGCCAAAAAGAGCACCACTACCATCTATTACAATGAAGCCAAACTTGCTGTCGTCTGAAAGTAGTGCCGTAAGAGCCTAAGAACAAACACAAGTACCACATAACAAACTCCAAATCTCTAAGATCAAGACAAAACCCAAAAGGCAATAGGAGTCCTTATTCCCCACTTACCATTTTATGAGTACTGCAGAAAAGGCATTTAATGTAATAATAGATAGAAAGAACTCTTGCCAAGGGCAGATGGGAAGGGGGAATGGTGAACTAATTATTGTTTAACATGTTCACTATGGGGCCATAATCTGTATGTCTCACTGCCAGGCGGCTGTGATTTGAACATGTAATGTTCCTACAGGCTTAACACTGGTGGTACACACATGACTGACCCATCAGGCAGTACAGGCTGCCCAGAATGTGTTAATGGGTAGAAAAACTTTATAAGATGAAGAGTTTGGGATGGATGGTGGCAGTGATAGATGCACAATTCTATGAATACATTTAAATCACTAAACTATGCACACAAAAATGATTAAAGTGATAAATTTTATATGTACTTTACCACAGTAAAAACAGACAAACTAACAAACATGCAAAACCCAAAACTCAATAGAAAGTTACAGGCTCAACTAAGTTCTTGACTTGATTCAGACAGGAGTATTACATTCAAATTAAGTCTCTAACTTCCAAAAGTTGACTTTTCCTCCTTTACTAGAGAGTAAAATCAGGGCCTCATAAATGCTAGGAAAACACTCTTACAGAGCTACAACTCCAGGTCCCAGAAGTTGATGTTTTGTTACATTTAATAACTCCACCATTACTACACAGAATCTATCATGACAAATTAGACCATCTTGCAAATTAAACTGTGAGTATAAAACAAGTAAAAAAATCTCTACAAAGATTTTCTAGCTTTGAAATGTTTTACTTAAGTCCTCTGGTCTTGAGCAATATTATTATCTGGATACAAGACTGTTTTCAAAGGTATTATAAGGAAAGTTCTGAATTTTATAAGGAAAACTTCTGGGTTAGTAATATTTTTTCATATGTCTACTTCTCCAAAAGAAAAAAAAAATCTTTTGGTACCAGAGATCAAACTCAGGACCTTGTGCCTGCCAGGCAGGCATGGCACAACTGAGCTAAATCCCTGGCCCAAAGAAAAAAAAAATATTTAAAGAGTCCTTGGACTCTTCAGATACATTTTCTTTTTTTTCAGCTTTAATTGAGTTTATTGGTACATTTTAGGGATACAGTACAGTTACATTTATTGTTGGGATCTTGTACCTCCACATGACAAGTCTTGATTCTCATTTTTTCCCCTTATCCCTGCCCTCCCTTCACCCCCTCCTCCCCTCCCCATCTACAAATACTTTATTTCCTTCTTTTCATTATCTCACATTTTTTCCTTTTCCCTTATTACCCTTCCCCTACTCATCCCACCTTCCCTACACCTTTAGTTCCTTTCTTCCTTTTTCGAAATGTCAGTAATCTTATTAGGATCTTATGAATTATTGCAGATTATTCACACCAGATAAACTATTCAGTATTTACACATGTGTGACTTATTTATTTCACTTAGGAGTATATCTTCAATATCAGATACATTTTCTTAACAGATTTTGAATATCATAAGCTTGGCAGATCACTAATTGCTAATCTCTTTAGAACTAAGAAATTATTACCTGGTTCCATTTTTACTAGTGAAGAAAATAGCACTTTAGAGAAATGTTTAGAATGGGGATTAATCAACTAAGAATCCCTCTTTAACCAAAGTATGCTTGATAATTAGCATTAAGACATTTGGCCGGTGTGGTGGCACTGACTATAATTCTAGCCACTCAGGAGGCTGAGACAGGAAGGATCGCCTGGGCCTAGGAGTTTGAGGACAGCAGCCTGGGTAACTTCATGAAACTGTTTCAAAAATAATTTCAAAAAAGGGCTAGAGAATCCCCAGTACTAGGTTTGTGTGTGAGAAAGACATAAATATTGTTTAAAATATATTCTTAACTCAGGCATGGTGGTACATGGCTGAGGCAAGAGGACTATGAGCCCAAGCCAGGCTGGGATATGTAAGACAAGACCCTGTCCAAAAAACAACAAAACACCCTTAAGCTGGGGATATAGCTCAGTGTAGACTGCATGCCTAGCATGCATTTGTGTGAGGGCCTGAATTCAATTCCCATCACCCCAAAACAGCTTTATATAGTATTGTTATGTTAGGTATCTTAATTAAGGTTTTTCAGTAAGCCTATCCAGGAATAGACTCACTCTTACTTTCTGTTAGTGCTGGGGAATGAACCCAGTGCCTTGAGCACACTTCTTTTTTTTTTGGTATCAGGGATCGAACTCAAGACCTTGCACTTGCACAGGCGTGGAGCCACTGAGCTAAATCCCCAGCCCCTGTGAGTACATTTCTTACTCCTTTCAAGAATGTATAATTAAAAGTTGGGTGTGGTGGTGTAGACCTGTAAACCCAGCAACAGCACCTCCCACTGTGGTGTGGGGTGTGGGCACCCACCCTTGCATGCTAAGGCAGATGGATCCAACTTTGAGCCCAGCCTGGGTAACTTAGCAGGAACTTTGTCTCAAAATAAAAAACTGAAAAAGAGATGGAGCTGTAGCTTAGTGCAAAGACTTTGGGTTCCATTTCCAGTACTGACACACACACTCTCTCATGAATATCTAACACTTATTAAACAGGAAATAAACAAGGACATACTGACCCACCAGTGATGCCAGATTAAAAGGCTCCTTAGAAGAGGACTTAAGGTTTAGAAAAGCCTTTTCTTTTAGATTTTAACTTAACAAGTGAATTAAAGCCAGACAATATGGGTACCAGGGACTGTCTACATCAGTAAAATTCAAAACCAGCATTTCTTCAAACCAGATTCAGGTATATAGGACACAGAGGCTGAGAGTCTCCCTAATGAAGTCTCTGCCAAAAACAGACTGTGGTAGCTGAGAGAAAAACAGTCTGAATCATCCATGCAGCTGACCAATATTCAACTGGCACTGGACTTCCTGTCAAGTAAGCAAAAATCATCCATTGTAAACTGTGTCAACAAATGTCAGTTCTAATTCTACTAGAGAGGTTTTCCCTAGGTCGATGAAAGGCAAGAAACTAAACTAGGAGCCAGCTGTGAATTCCTGATTGTTCTACTGTTGACTGATTTAGGTCACTCTAATGAGGTTTCCTTTCCATTAAAGTTTATCTTATGGCAGCTCTGTCACTCAAAAGTTTTCATGGGGAGAGGAAAAAAAAAGAACTTCCTGTTACTAAAAATCTTACAATTTGAACTGAAAACCAAAGGTACAAAGAGTACAGGCAGCAAGTGTCACTAGTAAATAGGAAGAAATAAAGATCAACTAGCCAATTATTTCTCTAGTTAGTTTTCCAAATCTAGTTTAGCACCTTCTTCAAACAATGATGAATAACTAGCATCATAGTAAATTTAAGTTACATTACTTTTTGTAGATAGTAAGCTGTATAAAATGGTACCATTTTCCATAGTTTAGAAAACTGACAATTTCTCAAAAGGTTAAACACAGGGGCTGGGGATTTAGCTCAGCGGTTCTGCTGCCTGCTTTGCAAGCATAAGGTCCCGAGTTTAATCCCCAGTACCAAAAGAATAAATAAAAAAATAAAATAAAGGAAATTCAAAGGATAAAAAAAAAAAGGTTTAACACAGTTACTATGCGACCTAGCAATTCTACTTCTAGATTTAAGAAAGCATGGTCACACAAAAAATTACAGGTATAACAGCCAAACAGTGGAAATAACTAATGTTTATCACTTACTGAATACATAACGTGTGGCATATCCACACCATGGATTGTTTGGTAATAAAAAGGAATAACAGCTGATGGGTATGAGGTTTCTTTCTGGAATGACGAAAGTGTTCTGTATTCAAACTCTTACCTCAGTATGGAATTTGTTGTCACACAAATACAATGATGTATTAATTGGTTTGAAAGGCTCAAAGTCAATGTTGACTTTCTTTTCCTTTCCTTCTTCTGTTACAATTGTTCCACAGTAAACAACCAGACCATTTGGAGGTACTGCAAAGAACACAAACAATTTCTCTATTTTAAATGCTCCCACAGCCATAATTTAAACAAAACAGAAATACCCTTAAACCTCTTAGGCAAAATTCTCTAATTTCAAAACTTCTTCTGAGGAAAAATACAGTAAGCACTACTTAAAAAGTTAAAACACCAAGGCTAAACAGACATTTATGATGGCTGGAGGAAGAAAATACTGGGCAATAAAGCACCATGGCGGGATAAAAATGGACAATGTGGAGAGAAGGAAGATGATCGAATTGCAGATTACCTTTGTTATAAAGTTTGAGTCTTTGTTGTACAGATGTAATGGCTCCCAAGACTGAAAGGCGGTTTACTCGTGACTTAATGTTAGATGCAGTTCCAAACTCATCTGCTAACATTTTTGCCACTCGTGAAATCTGGTCTTTGGGAGGAATGATCAATGATATCATGCTGGTGCCATTGCTGTGGAACAAAGGATAATTTCTTAGCAGTTCAAACATCACCTAAGAATACAGTTTAAATTCATGTTTATGCTTAGTAAAACGAATCAAGGTGAGATGCTCTTGAAATCATGACCAGGACATAAGAGTTTCACCCACATATACCCAAGAGCTAGGAAGTGTTCAGAATACAGTAGGTGCTCAATTTTTTTTGGATGAAGGGAAAAGCTATGATGACGAGGGCCAATAGGTTGAAATTTGGCAGTAGGTGAAGCCTACCTATGCCCGAGACTTAGAATCTGGTAGTTCTTCAGTGGGAGATGCTATGCCAGGATAACATAACGTGTACTTTTTTTCTTTTTTGGAACTGGTGATTGAATTTGGGTCCTTGTGTCCCCTCCCTCAACAAAAAACAAAAAACAGGACCAGGGATGCTCAGTGGGGCTGCACCTGCCCAGCAAGCTCAAAGTCCCGAGTTTGATCCCTGGTACCAAACCAAACAAACACATAAAAAAGGACCAATATTATCCTTTTAAAATATTTTGAGACAGGCTCTTACTGTCACTAAGTTGCCCAGGTTGGGCTCAAACTTATGTTCCTTTTGCCTCAGCCTCTCAGAGTGCAGGGATTACAGGACTGTGCCACCACATCCAGCTCAGCTCTCCCATGTCTTTAAATTCCAGGCTTACCACAAATATTCATAAACACCAACTTAGCACCTCCTAAATGCTTTGATGATAGGAAAGGACAGCACTGGAATTCACTCAAACATCCCAACTATGAAACCAATCTCTCTTCTTGCACACATTCTCCCTAAATAGCAATGTATCCCCACCACACCTACAGTGGGAACTGAAACCAGGACTTCATGCATGCTAGACAAACACTACCAATGGGCTACATCCCCAGCCCTAAACAGCAATGTATTTTATACATCAAAAAGAACAATGTATTCAGAGCCTGATCAACTCTGGGTGTCCAAACAAATTCAAGTTTCTAGAACATACAGACCAAACTTTGAAGTATGGAGGATACCACTAAGGCCCTGACAGGTCCCTTATGAGCTCAAGTCTCAACACTAGAGCCCAGCAACATAACTTTCTCACTTGTACTCTCCCAATATACTCATTGCCACTACCATTAAGAAACTCCCCATTTCAGTATTTTCAGTATTCTAGTTGTACTTGAAGCACACATAATTAGTAGCTGGGGATGTGGCTCAGGGTAGAGCACATGATTAATATGTGCAAAGCCCTGAGTTTAATCCCCAAGCACAACTACCCCCCAATAAAGTAAAAAGACAATGCACAGAAGGGGAGAAAACATTTCCAAGTCATATATCTGATAAGGTTCACATGAAGAATATCTAGAATATATGAAGAATTCTTACAACTTAACAGGTAACTTAAAAAATGGGATCAAGGCTTAAACAGACATTTCTCAAAAAAAAAAAACACAGACTTAAACTGTTACTCAATGCTACTGGGGATGTAAAGTGGTATAATCCTTTGGAAAACAGCTTGGCAGTTCCTTAAGAGTGTTTTATTACTGGGGATCAAACTTGGGATCTTGTACTTGAGAGGCAGGCCACAGAACCACTGAGCTAAATACCCAGCCTTTTTTTTTTTAAAAAAAAGAGTGTTAGCAGCATTACCCTGTGATCCAGTCAATCCACCCTTAAGTATATACCCAAGAGAAAAGAAAATATATGTTACAAAAAGTTGTGCCTGAAAGTTCAATGAAGCACTCGTTACTCAATAAAAAAGTAGAAACAACCCGTAAATGCAAGGAATAAATAGATAAATAAAATGCAAGGGCTGAGGACATAGCTCAGCACTGCTGTGCCTGCCTGGCAAGCACAAGGTCCAGAGTTTGATACCCGGTTAAAAAAAAAAAAAAAAAAAAAAAAAAAGTGCTATACTCATATAATGGATTATTTAGCAATAAAAAGACAGATGTATACATTTATTTACATTACACTTAGTAAAATTGGTCATAAATAATCACATATTATATTATTCTATTGATATGAAATGCCCAGAGCAGGTAATCCAAATAGAAAGATCAGTGGTTACTAGTGCATAGGAAAAGGGAGGATACAGTGTGGCTGTTAAATGGTGTACGAATGTAGTTTAATTCTGGTTGATGGAAATATTTAAAAATTTCTAGTGATAACTGCACAACCCTGAAAAATCAAGGAACGAGACACTGTTTTTCTTGCCATACTGGCAACTGAATACAGGGCCTTCACAATGATCTACCTCCCCAGAATATTCTTTTGAGACAAGGCCTAAGTCACTAAGTTGTCCATGCTGATCTCTTGAACTTGTGACCCACTTGCCTCAGCTACCTAGAGTGCTGGTATCAAAGGTATTCACCAGCACATCTAGCTAACTGTCCACTTTAAAGGGATTATATTCCTTTGGAAAGGAATAATCCTTTGGAAAACACCCTGGTAATTCCTTAAGAGCTTAAATAAAGAGCTATTTTATGAGTGTTTATATATATATATATACATACATACATATGTGTGTGTGTGTGTGTGTGTGTGTGTGTGTGTGTGTGTGTGCGCATGTATTTTTGGGGTGATCTATATATTAACAAAGCTGCCATTAAAAAAAAAAAAAAGTGGTGGGCCGGAGATTTAGCTCAGTGGTGTCGCCACCTGCCTCACAAGCCCAAGGTCCTGAGTTTGATCCCCACTACCCCCAGCAAAATCTATGGGCACATGCTCATAATCTTAGTCTTCAGAAGGTTGAGGCAGGAAGATTGCTTTGAGTTCAAGGCCAACCTGGGCTAAATATAAATAGTGAGTTCAAGGTCAGCCTGAAATACAGCGAGACTTTGTCTCAAAAAACCCCCAAAGACTTCAATCTTACAATTTACTTTAGAAAAACCAAAGCATGCTTTTCTGAGAAATTTTAATTTGTTTTTACTAATTACTGCATATGGTATGTCTTGAAAACTAGATTACTAATTTTAAAGGTGAATTGGAATATGAACAAAATCACATCTTCAATACATAGAAAATTAAAGCCCTAAAAATCTGTCCTGACCAGAAAGATATAAATAAGCTAGCTTTTACTACAACAGCTATTGGTATAAACTGAGGTGATTTACATTTTGACAGAAAAAGCTGAGCTGATACAAACCAAAGCATATTAAGAAATGTGGTATCATAGCTGGGCATGGTTACTGATGCCTGTAACTCTACTTAGAACGAGGAAGGAGGATTGCAAGCTTGAGATCCTGTCTCAACAAGAGCAAGAGAAAGAAATGTCTGGCTTAACAGAATTTCACATATGGAGCCCAGTGAGAGCTGGCATGAAAAAAATTAGAAAGCTAAGACTGTCAAGTAAAATGGGCTAATATGCCAAGGAAATACACAAAGAAAGGAAAAAGCACTGTGAGGGAGAGAGGGAACAAAAAGAAACACTCTTAATATTTAGCTTTGTAACAGCAGTTGTTTAAAATCAGAATATGTCTGAAATTAGTTTTGGGGAAAGCCTTTTTTTTTTGGAGACAGGGTCTTGATGTAGCCCAGGATGGCCCATAGCCTGTAATACTCCTGGCCTCCTCAGAAGCTGGGATTATACAGGTATACAACTGGACCTGGCTAGGTATTTTTATAGTAAAATTAACTTCATTCACATGCACCATTAAGGTTGTTTCTCCCCAGCATTTACCTTAGAACGGGACTTCATTTATAGGAGAATTTGCCCTGAATGTTTTCCCCTAGTGGCAAATTCCACAAATCCTCTAGATTAAGCAGTTACTTTACAAGTAGGTAAACGGGAACCAAGCTCAGGTGGTGTGCAAGTATGTAATCCCAGCATTTGGGAGGTTGAGGCAGAAAGAGTACTGAGTTCAAGGCCAGCCTAAAAAAAAAAGGCAAAACCAGCAGCAGCCAGGTATAGCCATGTACTTTGGTAAATCTGTAACCCTATGATTTCAAAGGATGAGGCAGGAAGGATTGAGTTGGAGGCCAGCCTGGCCTACACAGTCAGTTCAAAGTGAGCCTGAGCTACATATTGAGACTGTCTCAAAAAAACAAAAATGGGGGCTGGGGATTTAGCTCAGTGGTTCTGCTGCCTGCCTCTCAAGCACAAGGTCCTGAGTTCAATCCCTGGTAGCACAACAATACAATAGATAAACTGGTTATTTATAGTGTTTTCACTACAGCAATAAATACTCTGAAATTGTCAGCCAAATCATATCTCCAAAACCAGTTGTTTTTGCTGGTCTACTTACAGCCTAGAAGGCTAATTTATAATCTTTGTGGTATTTTCCCCAGTAAAGTACAAGCAGATTGAATACAGTACATGGGAAGAGTATGGTGTGTACTTTGCTGCCACCCCTTGGATAGGGGTGCAAATATTCTAGCCAAAGCAGAGAATCAAGGACATTTAAGATATGCAGCTTCAGCTGTCATCACCAATGTATAAGTTTCAGAAACAAAATTTCCAAACATAAATTTCTGGAATTCTGTATCAAACTTTACAGACCAAGGAGGAGAAAATAAGTCTGCTCTTGTAAAAGGCTGGAAATACTGGGCAAGTGAATTTAACTTCAACAATGCTCCAAGGGATAAGGGTCCAGCTCAGTAACAGATGTATGTGTGAGGCCTAGATTCAACCCCTAGCACTCAAAGCAACGAAACCAATCTAAATTGTAGACCTGTCTTCTATGCAGTGGAGGAGGTCAACTCATGTACGTAGTGACTATGAAGAGAGGATAGGAAACTTTACTGGCTTATGCTTGTCTTCTGATGAAGCAAGGAGGAAGGGGACGAATTCTATCTTCATCTTAGGGGCTCATGGGCTCTTGGGACTCTTCAGGGGCCAAAGAAATTCTCTCTCAACACATTCCTGCTGGCTTGAATCACTGGGGTACAGGCACAACTGTCCCATATGGTGGTTCCCAGCCACTTGGCAGTGAGACACGACTTACTGAGCCTTTGTACATATGTAAAAGAATGGGTTCACTGGGCCTGATGGTGCACCCCTGTAATCCCAGCACTGG